GCTACTCCTGGCTTTTAAAGCATCATCAGCGAGCCATATCCAATCCATTCGGTTGATTAGAAGTTCAACAGCTTGCGTGTTTAGGCCTCGGATGGTGCACCATCCGCGGTTCAGTAGGGCTCGATGATGTCGATTAGTAAGTCAGTGATGGCCATTCCAGTATCCCTTGGCTTTGGCGATGATTTTTCTGCCTATAGTATACTAGCCATCGAGTGGCTATTTCTAGATTGAACTCCAAAGCAGAGTGGGACGAGCGTGTCCGTGACGCGGTCGGTGAGCACCCCACGGCAGGAAGGTCTCGTGTCACTAGAAGCTAGAAAGCGAGTTCCAAGCAGAAATCACGAAGGAGGAGATAAAATCAACGGAATGAGAGCTCTGTTAGCCTGACGTCTCTGATTCCTCACTTGAATCCACCAGTAGAGACAACATCAGAGGAGGGTAGTATACTGCACAGATGTTGCCGTATCTGGCTGCGCTATGCAGATGATACATTTGTCATCATCAGGAAGAATGATTTAAACCTCATCCACAAGAAACTCAATTCCACATCCCCAGGAATTGATTTACATTCAAGAAGGAGGTTGGCGGACAACTCCCAGTTCTAGATGTTCTTGCACATCAAAGTGCTGATGGATCACTCCGTACATCTGTTGACTGTAAAGAAACATATTCGGAAGTCATCCTAAATTTTGGGAGCAACCACCCAGTCTCTCACAAAAATTCTGTCGACAGCCTCCTCAATCGAACTCAAAAACACTGCTCTGATGACGAAGGTTACCAACAGGAAATGAAATATATTTTTTAATTATTCTTCAAAAATGAATATCTACGAAATTTCGTGCTTCATTGCATAAAACGAAAAGAATGCAAAGGAAAGGAAAAAGGCAGTTCAAATGGTATGACCAACGAGGTATTGAAAACACTAACCTGGCGAACTCTCCCATACGTAAAAATGTATCTGAGCTTATCGAAAGGCAACTAAGAAAACATCAGATACACGTGGCACACCAACCCGCAACCACCTTACGATCACAGCTTATACACCTTAAGGACAGGGTAGGCTATCTTGAAAGGAAAGGAGTTATCTACAAGATCCCGTATTCTAGCTGTGATGCAGTTTATTGTGGCCAAACTGGGAAATGCGCCTCAACCCGTATACATCAACATCAATCAGCGGTCAGAAGACAAGATCATTTATCCCAGGTGGCCATGCACACAGCGGAAACTGGCCACAAATTCGCATGGAAGAACACACGGGTTGTTGGCGCTTATCCAAGTAGAAAAGACCGTGAATTCCTGGAAGCAATGCACTCAGATGAAGCATGCGTCAACAGACATATCGATTTGGACGCTAGCTATAAGTACCCCGAGGCCAAATTCAATGCGCGCCACCAACCAGAGCAGAATGACGAAACGCATGTAACGCCTACTAGCGCAGACTGACCGTCCTGCCAATCGGTGTGCACGTCAGATGAATATTGATTTTTATGGACTTTTAAAATTCTTATCGTATTTTGCACATTTTCTCAAGTCTGAAGACGAGCGGGAGAACCTGCCTCAAAAATTTACACAATAAAGTTTCCATTTTACCAAAGAAGCCTTTATTTTCATAAAATAATATAATGGTTATGCCACGGCATACGTTTCACACTTAATCGCTGCCGAATGCATACCGAACGATTGCACGTGGTCGTCAGTCAGTTGACAAATGCAATAACCTTCCGCTCCGTATTCGGCGCCGAGACTCTACCTAGGCAAAGTAGTTAGCCAAGCTGAGAGCGAGCCGATGACCGCTGTTTCAAGTGCTTGTGTCAGCAAGCTAACTGGTTCCAGATCCCATATGCATGATGGAATTCCGACAGTAAGCAAATCAACAACGGCCAATTATCACACAACGTAGAACCGCCTGTGATAAGCGTGGGAGCAGATACGTTTGACAGACACGCGAGCACATAGCAAGTGAATACAGCGACACCTGGAAAATCAGACAATTATCGCACCAGGAGCAACTATCCGCGATGTATTTGGAAACTGCCAGTTATGATGCGTATGCTGTGGCGTACCAATTATAAACTACAAATACTGCAACACCCATGCAACCCGCTACGCTTTTCTGATTTTTTCTCGGACGCTGGATTTGAGTGAGAATCCGAAACGGCAAGCAAATAAGGCTCTTGCTCCAGTCTTGGCCCATAAACGGGATTGAGATACAACAACATCGTTCATTTTTTGACAGTTAGAAAGCAGAAACTGTTAGGTTAGATGAAATTGCCCTAGCTGTTGCATAGAACTAGGAAGACCCTGGTATAATGTAGATTCTGCTCTATAAATTATCGGTTTCACCGTAGAAGCGATTCCGAAATCGTAAATCAACTTGAAAAACGCTTAAACAGCCGACACAGGTGACCTGTGGCTGTGAATTTTGAATGCCCGATCAAGTGATTTAAGCGAGTATAAAGTAAGATGTTGTGATGAGCGTCCATTGATTTCAAATGACTGTTAGTATTTATTCAGTTGAAGAGCTACGTGCCAGATACAAGAGGGTTGTGGTGTAGGGCTGGAATGTACAGAGCAGGTTTGTATAGATTAATTTCTGTCACTGACCGAATAATTTTCAGTTATCGCATATCGATTAGCGACTTTCAAATATGCATGTGTTCATGCAATCGGTAACTTACAAAGCTGACGAAGTGCTGTGACAGAAATCCTTGCGGTCGGCGCGGACGCTGTTCATGTTAATTAGTAATGTGACGTGATATGAGACAAGCCGTCTTGCCACGTAAACTATGATTACAAGTTATTTATAGCAAAGAAAAACTTTTGACTACTGGGTGGAACGCCGTGCTTCGGTATATGTAAGTATATCTTCGCTGTATTCTTCCAGTGGAGCGCGTTAACCTAAGTGAGAGTATTTCACTAAAAAACATCCACTTAAGAAAATTTCGGTAACTCGGTATGGGTTACTCGAGTACGTAAGCATCAGAGAAACCAAGTCATTTTTTAAAAAGAATCAAGCTCATTTTTCTTACAAAATCCTGATTTGAAGCTGTATGTCTTTATGCACCAAAACCCAATGATACGGATAATAGACAAGCCTTTGTTATACCACAACCGTAACTGTGGGCAAGAGTAAATGTTACAGAAGTAATGACAAAGGCTCTACCAAGGAGCGCCTATTCTTTTCATACGGTTTCTTATCAAGTTAGAGGAAACCTAAAAACAAATCGGCTATCACATTAACTTCCGGAATGGGAGGTTACGGAAACCGGTCTTGTGCACACAGAGGAAGTTCATACAGATTCCGCCCTTACCGTAGTCAAAGATCCACTAAGTTTATGGAATTTCCCTTATCCTTCTGCCCTCCGCTCCTTGATATTGACTCTTGTGAACCCTCACTGCCTCGTATCACACTCTGCTTGTGTTTTATGACAAAATGCAACTAATTTCTTTAATTACTTATATGTTTTTGGCGGCCCCGTTACCCACTAAGGGGATTTTAGCGAAGGCAAACATTAACTCGCCACCTAGTCGTTTGAAATATATATATATTTGGTTCCTGCAAGGCTACTCCATAACACGCATGTGCACATAGGTTATGTATTTAGGTATGCAGTAGTAAAGAAAAATTGGTGCAAAATAGAGGAAAATGATTTCTTGTTTGCAACATAAAATATGAACGGTCATAAAGTTCTTATTATCCCTATGACAGATAGATAAATCGCGAAATGTCCTAAGAAAGCATTTTTAATACGGGAACGTTATGGAGAGTTTTTTTTATTTGGTAAAGGGCGTTTTAATTGCAAGCCTTTGTGAGGACCGTCTGTTTGCATCAGCGATTGGGTTTGTACTTAAGTGAATTTACAGATCTGAAATAAACCGCCAACTGCGGTAAAAGAACTTTCGGGTACGTTATACTTTTGCAGGATTTGGTAAGCAAGCCCCAGT